TGGGGAATAGCGAGCCTAAACCTGGTCTTCCGTAACCAGGGAAGGTTTCCAGTGGAGGGGCTGAGACACCAGCGCAGCCACAAAACCTTTAACCTACAATTTGCCCTGCCTGTAAGATATGCTGCGGTAAAGGTGCCACAGAACATATGGGAGTAGCCTAGCCATGTTTGTCCAACTTGAGACCCATGCCACAAGAGGGAGCCCACTCTGGGCATTGTCTGGAAGGCTAGCAACCAGAGCTAGATAGGCCAGAGACCTAGAATAGAACCACACATGACTGGCAAAAAAGAAGCCATGAAATCATCCTAATGATATTCTGCTATATTCATAGACCTAAGTGAGCCTAGCATAATCCTCATTAGAGAGACTTCATCTAGCAACTGATGGGAGCAGATGCACAGATCCACAGTCAAACATCAGCAATCAGGCAGAGAGAGCTCAGGAATTCCACGGAAGAAGAAGAAGGATTGTAGGAGCCAGAGGGGTCGAGGACACCACAAGAACATAGCTCACAGAATTAATCAACCAGGGCTCATAGAAGCTTACAGAGACTGAAGTGACAATCAGGAAGCCTCTATGGGTCTGACCTAGGTCCTCTGCATATATGTTCTGGTTGTGCAGCTTAGTGTTCTTGTGGAACTCATAACAGTGGGAGCAGGTGTTGTCTCTGACTCTGCCTGCTCTTGGGACCCCTTTCCTCCTACTAGGTTGCCTTGTCCAGCCTTAATATGAGGGTATGTAACTTGCTATGCCATGTTTGGTTGATATCTCTGGGAAGTCTGCTCTTTTCTGAAGGGAAATGGAGGAGTGGATCTGGGGGAGAGGTGAGGTGTGGGGGATTCTGGTTGGAAGGAAGGCAGGAGAAACTGCTGTGGGGACATAGTATATAAGAAAATAATAAATTTTAAAAAAGAAATCTAAAATACAATTGATCAAAGAAAGTTAAACACTATGCTGATTCAGTCAGAGATACTTTATAATATGCTCATCTTCACATGAGTGAAGCAGGGCAGCCCACTTTTACACTTCTGTAAGCGTGTATGTGTGTGCACGGGACTGAATTAGATTTTACACAGTTGTATTTCAGAATTCAGAGAGAAGCATAGTCTCTTCATGACTTTGCTAGAATTACAGTGCCTTCCTCCTCCTTCCGTGTAAGGCCCAGACCAGCAATAGTCAGGACCTTTTCATTGCAGGTCTGCACTCTAATATAAACAAAATGTCAAACACAAGAGATAAGTGAGTCAAGGAATTTTAATTGTGGTAATATTGTCCTCTCTTTAACCAAACTCCACCTAGGCTCTCCCTTGAATTCTCTTCTCATCTAGGTTGAGTCTGAGCTTTCCTGTTCATGCTGACTATCCATAAGCAAGAAATCTGCTAGGTCAATTTAGCTGGATTCCTACCCTTTATCTCTCCCCCTCAATGTCTAATCAGCTTCTTTATTTCTCCCCAACATCTAGGTGGTACCTGATCACATAACCTGCCTTTAGCAAGAACCCTGTTAGGTCAATTAAGCAAGAATCCCCTCTTATTCCTAATGTGTCCTCTTAGAAATTTCTTTTTTTTTTTTTTTTTGGTTTTTCGAGACAGGGTTTCTCTGTGTAGCTTTGCGCCTTTTCCTGGGACTCACTTGGTAGCCCAGGCTGGCCTCGAACTCACAGAGATCCGCCTGGCTCTGCCTCCCGAGTGCTGAGATTAAAGGCGTGCGCCACCACCGCCCGGCTAGAAATTTCTTAATTCAATACTCCTTTTTTTGCTCTCTGGTTATACACTCATACTTGTCCTTGTTATGTTTGAATTGATTTGCTTATTTTCCATGATCCCCCTGAAATATCCATATATGCATTGGTTTCTATTACATATCAAAATAATTCTACCTAAAGTATATATCATCACTCTTTCAATAAGTCTCACTAAATATTTTTTCATTAGCAACAGTAATATTTTAAAAAGCCTAATAGGCCAAAATATTAACACAATTTACTATTTATTCTTTGTTATTTCATAATATGCATGACATTCACATGTAATTTGAACTACATGCTTTCCTACATTAGAAGCACTCCTTCCTATGGAAAGTTTTATTTAAAATTAATGTCACTTTTATTAGAACTCATGTTCCCAAGGAGCATAGAAACTGACACTTAAGTGTCTTAGATGTGTTAAGGATGTTGCATAAAATTTCAAAACTGGTCTTTCAGAGATTAGAAGTAGATGAATTTTACGATGCAAATACTGAGTTAACATTAAAACATTCTCTACAGATTATACATAGCAGGTGCCTTTTGCCACCATTAAGTCTATTTATGAAAACATAAACTAATATGTAAAGGCTGTGGGAATTTAGCTACCATAGCTTTTGTAGGAAACTAGCCAATTTCTATCATAATTATCCTAGAAGAATCTCTCACAGGTATGAGGTTAATGACTTAGTATTTTACCATCAATCTGGTTTAGGGTTAGGCTTGTAATATTAAAGCATTTCCAAAGGTCTGTCACTCTGTGGATCAGAAATATTATTCATGAGGTATAGTTGGCAAAATGTATAAACTGAACAGGGCCCTCAGGACCCTCAGTGTTGAAGGGTAGACATTCTTGAATGGAAGGTAAAACTGTGATTGGGGTGTATGATTTGAGAGAGGTGGGGACTGGGCTCTTCTCTTTCACAGAATCTGTCTAGAGGATTTAGAATAATCAGTCACAGCCAGGGTCAGTCTCATTGCTCTGATTTGTGCTATAATAAATCTACTCAACTCTGGCCATTGACCAAAATTTAGAAAACTCATAACTGACTATAAGAATAGTCACTTTATATTTGTTCATAGATAAAATACCTACATAAAGATAGGAAAGTAAAGACAAAATACTTCACATGGAAGGACATGTTTATAAAATCAGAAAGCAAAAGTATATTTCTTTTCCCACTCACAGAGTGAGCTTCCAGAGCTTTGGGCCTCTACCTCAATCCAATAGAACTAAGCAAGTCACACATCACCAAAACCAATTAAATATCCTCTATTACTCCTTAAAATTCATATGGGAGTATTATGAAGTCTAATAAACAGCATACAATTTGGTTGTTGTTATGGTTTTAATGTACATGAGTATTTCGCTACATGTATGTCCATGAAACACATGTATGCCTAGTACTCATGAAGGCCAGAAGAAGGTGTTGGATGCCATCCTGGAACTAGAGATAATGATGTTTTGAGCCATCATGTGGGCACCAGGAGTTGAACCTGGGTCCTCTGGAAAAGCAGACAGTGTTCATAACTCCTGAGCCAGCTTTCTAGCTACAACTTACATTTTACTCTTCATGAGACACAGTATCATTTTACTAATATGGTAAACTTTAGGAATAATTGTCAACATGCCTTTAGTTTCAAGAAACAATTTTCATGTTACTATTTAAATCTGAAGCATATGTTCTAATGAGAAAGCACAAGAGTCTTAGTTTACGGGCTGACATCTCCTTTAGATACTTTGCTGTTCAACTCCAGTTTCTCTACACGAGTAAGAAATTTTATTATGACGTAATTATGTTGTACCTTAGAGGTTTCAAGCAAAAAAAAATCACAAATATATGAGGTGACTACATACTTTTTTGCTTAGAAATAATTTTAAAGCTTTCCCACTAAGTCATTGTCATAGTAAATCACTACAGGCCTTCATTGTAATGGCCCATATTCAATTTCCTGTTAATATAAGGATAGGAGGATGCATTCTTCTTGAAAGATAAGTAATGGGCAACATATAAATATTCTATTAAAAAGATAAAAAGGAGGAAATGAACTGGAACTATTTTAAATTATTCATGGGCCTTTGATGTTTAATATATTGCTTAAACAAAGTAAAAAGGTCCTTTGCACATGTTACTCAGGTTACACTCAACACCCACAGGAAAATAATTTTTTCTCTCTAATAATACAAATATGAAGGAATAAACATAAGAACACAGGGAGACTCCATAATCTTTGTCTTCAAAGCTCAAACATCCCCCTGCTCCTTGGATATGTTCAGTTTCCCACTAGTGATTTTTTTAACAAGATGCTTTAAACTCAGTATCTCTCCTTACTCAACCTTTCATCCAGTCTTCCACTCACATTCTTATTTTAATGAATATTTCTTTCATGTGCTCAGTGACCCAAGACAGATACTAAGACTTCAAGAATTCAACCAGATCCTGACTTCAAAAATGTGCCTGGCTTTTATGCCACGAAACTGCTGCACAAATGAAGATTCTCTTTGCTTCTCTCTAGAAGCCTAACTCGCTCTATCACTCAGCTTCTACTCATAAACTCTTAAGTCCTTCTCCTCTCTAAAGTGCATAACATCATTCATTTCTATGCTTAAAAGCCATCAACTCCAACTTGCCTACAGACCAGGGCCTGACTCCTGGGGTCAGCATACACCAGTTACAGTTCTTCAGGATCCTTACATAGTACCTGACTCTCACCCCTTGTTTACAGCTTGTACCGATTGTATTCAACTGTTTGCAGTCTTCCTTTTGGGTTAAACTGTGCTGCACAGTGCTATGGACACACCTATGTATCTGTACATCTCTAGATATTTCTGACACGTGCTTCTCTTCTTTCAGCCACCACCCAGCCTGTCCAAATTCTGAGCTAAGCTACAAGATCATCAGTTCGGCCATCCTCACCAGAGTGATGCTTTCTCGGAGTGAGTCCAGCCTCAGGCCAATACAGGACAGCCTTGCCTGTCTGCACTAAGACTCTGTAATATTTAGATGTTTAATGTGTTCAATTGCAGCACAAGCTGTGGAAGGTCAAAAATCCCTTGACCTCTAAGCACCTAAGAGGTAGCTCGGGAGTTAAAAATGAAATGCTTCAATAAATGTGTTTAAGGATTACCTAAAAATTAAGTAAGAAACTTAATTAGAACTTCAGCATTATCACATCTCCGGATATATTTTGGGCTGGAAAACATGAAATCATTTTGAATTAGCAGCATTATAACGACACTAACTTCTACAGTTCTAATTGGAAAACTGACTTATGTGTGTGGCTACAGTTTTGCAACCACGGATAGCACCTGTGTAGATTATTAATTCAAATGCACTTTGAGAACTGTGTGAATTACAATGAGCCATTCTCCTTGGAACACCACCTTCAAGACTCACTTTCTTATGTGTGCATGGATGTGTGGGTATATGTGTATATTAGCATAAATTTAATTTTAATCATGTAGTGGCTGGTTATTAGTTTCTGGTATAATAAGGGCCCTAGGAACTCCATGAACTACAGTAAAGACTAGTATGACAATGCTCTCAGAGTAACCAAGCACTTTCTGGTTTGGATTTTGGGCTTACTCCACAAAATGAAACTAAGACCTGGCACTACTATCAGGCACTACTATGCATCTGTGGCTAGATAAGTGATAGTCCCTAGAGCAGAATCTACTATGATTATGCTTCTAAATGGACATGGAATCACTCACTCCTAACAAAAGCTATCATTATATCCATAGACAATACACCTCTCAGTCCTAATCTGAGAAGCCTCTATGTGTAGTAGATCCTGATTAGCACAGTGACCCACAACTGGACAAGGTGCAGATAATAATAATGTTCCCAAAGGGAACATCTATGCCACATCCCTCCCCCCAGGGCCCACAGATCATTTGGAAACAGGCAAAAAGAATAGAGGAGCCAGAGGTGGTGGATGAGTACAAAGACACATTATCTTGTCGACAGAGCAGGGCAGGTGTACTTGTGAACTCACAGTGGTTGGGACAGCATGCACAAAACCTGTGCAAGGCCCAGCCTGACAAATTCCCAGATGCAGACAAAACACTCATATACATAAAATGATAAAATTTTAAAAAAAACCTATAAACTTAGGTGGGTAGAGAAATAGGGGTGACTCTGTGAAGAGATAGGGGAGATGTGTTGAGCTTTTCAAGAGAGAAAAATGAGAAAGAACAGAGACAAGAGGTCATAAGCGCAATGAAAAATTGAAACTTGAGACTGACTTTTGATGTAGGGCTTTGTCCTTGAGGTGGTGGCCTCTCCACCATGACTCAGGTACCATGCTGTCACAATGGCAGCTGTGTCCAGCGCCACTGTCACTCTGTGCAGAAGACTGAGTCTGAATCCTGTGTCTGTTTCACTAGGCTCTAATCTCACATTGGTGCACCTACAGGTTTGGAGTCTCAAGGGCATTGGTCAATGAGGTTTTCTCTGGTGGTTTTATGAAGAAAAGAGTTTCCTGCCTGAGGCCCATGGCTGCCAGCACATGCTTGGAATCTAGATGAAAGTGCCTGGATGCTCCCAGGTTTGCTGGGTACAGGGTACACCGTGTAGGGCAGCTATTTCTACACAGGAGATGGCAGTGCAACATGATGATGGTGTAGGGATTAGAGAGTGTGATATGAGGTGGTACAAAGTCCCTTATGAGGCAGGATCCAAGAGAAATTAAAGGGTTATTGAAGAGGGGAGAAGTCCTTTGTTAAAGAGGCCATTTAAGAAATAAAATGGTATGAAGTTACTCTTTAGCAAAAGAGTCTTGTGAGGACAGAGAACAGAATGCCTTCTAACCATGGGAGTTTTATCTGGGTCTTTAAGTGAGAGAGCATGAGAAAGGACAATACATTATTCCCTGGGCAAATGTTGAGGAATAATTTTCTATTTATAAAATTCTTGGTCTATGGCATGTTTTTTTTATTGTAGTATGACAAATAAAACATTGACAAGTCATAGAAACTGTTTTAAAAGTAGGCTTTAATTCAATTAGCCAATTCCCTACTGGAAAATGACTAGGGATGATTCTAAATTTAAAATTTCATGGCTAGGAAGGATGTTAATTAAATGTATCTTCTTTTGTTTATACATTTGCCAAGCAGGAATTTCAATATAACATATGGTTTAGAAAACTCATCACTATGCACACTGGAATATGTTATGGAATTAAATAAAATAATTTTTTTTGATAAAAAGAGAGGAGGTTAAAGTATTTCAAAAGCAGTCCCTTGTAATCTTTTGAGTGGTGTTTCCTGTCATGAGCAAGAGTCATAACTCAAACCAGAGCTGACAATTCTGTCACTTCAAAATGATTTGTTAAGGCTAACTTATGCAAATATAAATGTTTACAATTTATTGATTTGACAGAAATTTTACTTTACCTCTTAAGAACGGAGACTCTGGCATATTTTAGAATAAATAAAATCACTATAAAACCAAACAAACTTTGCTACAAGTTACGTGAGTGAAATTAATACGTTTAACAGAAGAAACAAAATCATCTTTGGTTGCCTTTAAACGTCTTAATACTCTGAAGAATCTTTATTAATTTATAAAATGAAGGAATTTCAAAAATTCAAAGATCATAATTAATCAATCAAGGTGAAGCAGAAAAGGACTTCCTCTTAGCCATGTTTTCTCCTACATGTCACACACATTATCTGAACTCTTTGCTGTTTAAACTCTGGATTTATCCGCTAACAAACTCTTACAATGAAGACTTCAGAAAGCCATATTGTTGACCGAGTTGTTGACGTGAAAAAGTACCAGTTTTCTAAAAATTTTCATCTAAATTTATATTATTATTTCCTGACTCTATGAAGTGCTTACCACATCTATATAAAGTGTGCGCTAGTATGTATGTGTATACTCGTAATCTAGTCTCTAACTCTCATAGACAAACATTAAATTCTGGTGTATTTCTCTTAATGTTCTTGGATCTCTTCTTGTCCCTTTGAAATTAGAAGAATCTCCAGGCAACACTAAACCCAACCTTGACTTTCCTTGGGATCACACAACTGTCTCTTCACTTTTTATTAAATTCCCAGTATATTCTGTTACAGTTAGCAGACTCTGCTATTGGTCCCCCAAGTGCATTTTCTAGAAGCTAATCTTATAAAATCTCCACTGAGGGTCACCAGAATTCAATCAACTCATATGATTTGTTAGGGACAGTCAAGACATCAGAACTGGGCTGGCACATAATGTCATGCTTGAAAGACATTATCATTTTTAATGACACTTTTTAACAGTTGAGTTGCTCTAAAATTTTACAAAATATATGAATATCTGGTACCTTTTTAAAAATTAGCCAAGTAATGAATGAAAGTATCTATACACATCTACTTATTACAAACTATCCCAAGATTTGTTTTAAATAATAAAAATAATTTAAATATGCTTCAAAAAGTATTGTTTTAAATAAAAATTATTTAATTGTGCTTTACAAAAGAAAAATTTCCACTTTAATTGCATAACTGAATTATGTTTCAAACTAATATCACTCAATGAAAATCAAGTTTGTGGAGGAAACCTTGTAGAAACTACTTCTTTCTTGTTCTGCTTTATTTGTGAAAGGTAACACAGAAAACATTTCAACACTGACTCACCAAGACTGCAAACAAAGTGGTATCATCTCATCCCAGTTACCCCAGGAAAAGCCAACATCTACTTCATTATTTGCTTCTGATACAGTCTCCAGACTTCCACAACTATTTAGGAACACATAAAACAGGAGACGGAGGAAAAGCAAGATGTTTTTCTACTTTCTCTTACTTCCAAAGGTGTCCAAAATAGGTAGAAGAATTTAGAAAACTAATTATGCCACCAATTATTTAGTTTTAAATGTAGTAACAGTGAAAATAGAAAAAAAAAAGAAAAGAATGGCAATCAGAATCAAAAAAAGAGGAAACAGCAAATGATACTCTGTGGACTTCTGCTTGGGATTCAGAATAACTTCTTTCACAAGTAAAAAAACTATCTATGTTCTTCACAGTTACACATTTCATTTCTTTTGGACAAAACTCACTCTCTTTTTTTTCAAGGAAGTAAATATAGGCAAAAAAATCTAGAATACAGCAGTCAATTTATATATCAATATCACATAGTTTTTCTTTTAAAATGTATTCTATGTTGAATGTAAAATTACTCATACTAGAAGAAAAAGAAAATATATAGAGACAACAGAACAACTTGCTAAATGATGTTGCTATTAATTTTCCAATAAATAAAAAATGAAATAACAACTAATTAAGCTAATGCTCCCTTTTCATATCATCTTCTTCTTAAAGTAGCCTTATATGCATTCCAGAAAGAAGCTGTTCATATATTTATTCCCTGGTGCATAAAAGAACCTCTAAGCAAAGTGAACATGCTAGGGGGCACAGAGCAAGATGCTCAGCACAAACAGGTCCCTGTGTTTAATCTCCAGCAACAGAATAAAAACAAAGAACTTCCTCTATTGAAATGTAAGCACATTGTACAGAGTTATGGAACCCAAGTTCTTATCTTCCACTAGAAAAGTTAAAAGTTAATTTTCAGCAAATGTCAGGAACCCACGATGACCTGCAACAGCTGAAGTTGCTTCAGTGCATTGAACAAGTGACCAACACATAAACTCAATGCCCTTTCTCAACACATTTCTGCATCACAGAAAAACAACTTAAACTGAATGTCAAAAACTCCCGTTTTCACATCTCCCTGTGCTCCAGTCCTTCACATTCTTATCCCACCCTAAATCCGATACAGCCACAGTTCAGCTGTGTCCTTCAGCTCATGACCTCATAGCCTCAGTTCCATAATTGCCAATGGATACTTAAGTCCCTGCCAACTACAGAATCCCCCCCTCTTTTTTTGAGAAAGCACTTGAGATCAATTGTTTAAGAGACATATTTTTTCTATCATAATTTCCATTATAGACTCA